AACCCAGCTCAAGGCAGAGGGGGGAGGGGATGACAGGACGTAGGCCTCTGTCCCCATGCATCTGCCCTCTCCCTCCCCCCTGCCCCGATCATTCATGACAGGCAATTTGCTAGTTAAATTTAGAAAATGCTGTATGTACATCAGAAGATTTTAAGACTGTTTTTTCCCTTTAGTACTCTTACCTGCAGGGCCTTTTCCTTCTCATTTGTCAGTTCTTGAGCATGCTTATTTGTTAATGCTGCTGTGTGTGATGTCCATTCACTCCTTAACTTATCTAATTCCCGGCTCTTCTCTGACAAGCTCTGCATAATTTAAGAAAGCATAAAGACATATTAAGTGCTTAAATTTAATACTCTGCATTACATTATTTTTTGCATCCACGGATAAGAAAGTGCTTTAGAGAAAATTAATTAAATCCTCACACAAGGCACTGAAATATATAATCAGTTTTACAAAGTGGAAACAGACAATGGCCCAGAGTATTCAAACAATAGCAAAGCTAGTAAAATATACTTAACACTCCGTCTTTTGATATAACGCCTACATTGTTCTACTTTGTATACAATTAAAAATGAACACACACAGCTGACATGCTACAGGACTGTAAATTCTTGCTGGGATCCTATGAACCCTGCTGACTTCCTGCCCCTGGGACACAGGGCTGGACTCGACGATCCTTCAGGGTCCTTTCCAGCCCGAATGTCTATGAAATCTATGAAATTCTTAACATTTAAAACACACTTTTCAGTAGGAAAAAGTATCAGTATCTTGGCATTTTTAAAAATTTGCAATGACAGAAAACTACATAGCAATTTCAATAGCATAAAAATTATAAAAATTGAGCTAGTGTTTAAAAATATTAACTGTCTGACAAAACCCAAACACACACAGAAAAGGGGGAACAGCTTAAATCTGCCTCTCTCCCCTTTAACTCAAAAATGGCTAAAGTAGCTTATAAGACACAAGTGAAACTGCTACAGGACCCATCATAGACCATTACATTTTAAACAATTACCGTTACACGTTTTAGGACAGTCTCTCAGTTAACTGGCATATTTTGTTATCCGGCACCCCCCCATTCCCCATGGATGCCGGATAACACAGTTTTTGCTGCATGTGTTACACAAAAACTTCAACAAACGAACATTCAGTAAGACACGCATGTAGTTGTTGTATCATATTTAACTTACCTGCTGTGTAAAGTTCAGCTGTCTGGTAAGGTCATCTTCAGTTTTTTTTAGCTTTTGCTCCAAAAGCAACTTTTCTTCCTATGAAATTCACATTTTAAGTGAATACCATTTTAAAATTTAAATTAGCATTCTTATTTAAAGATGCCAAAGCCAAAAATACCTATTCATTAAGCTATTAAAAGGTACTGTAAAAATAATTTAAATATTACATTATGTATATTTCAAAGAGCAAATGCTGTCTATGTTCATTTAAAAAACTTCAGGACAAAAGGCACTGCTACTGAATTCAGTTTGTTTTACAGAATTTCCCTAACAAACTGGGATCTTTGTGGAGTATTATTTACCAAGGAACTGTCTGAATACCTAAAAGACCAAGGGGGAAAAACTGTGAACTATATCGTTTTTAAACATAATTTCTTTATGTTAAAGAGGCCACGTGTACTTTACTAAAACAAAAATCCTATGCAATAAGATTAGTGAACTGTGGACTACACGCTCAGGATTTTTCAAACTCAAATTTTTTTTCATTTAATCATTTAAACCTGACAAGCTCCTGAGCATATCATCTTCACATTCATATCAGTAAGTGTTAATGAAGAACATAGAGCTATTCGAAATTCAAGAAGCTCTCCATTTATGCAAGAGTATCTCTACATAGTTCCAAGGATCCAATAGCACGATTGAAGCCCATAATTTATGGTATTTCATGTTCGCATTTGGACTGATCAATAGCACAAGGCAATGAAGCAAAAATTTTAACAGGTTCATTTGCCCTAAACAATTGCACTTCTATATTCATTACAGTGGAAATACATAGTGCAAATTATAAAATATTTATTTTTAAAACAAGCATGCTCTCTCACTATTTTTATCCCTAGAGAAAAAGTATACTGATTTAATTTTATGTGCATCTAAATAACTGCATGCAAAGTTACAAATAAACTAACTTACACACACACATACAATCCTGCATACAAGTTATAAGTTAAAAACTTGCCTACTTAAATCTTAATCCTACCTTAATGCATTTCAAGCAGTTAGCTAGAAACTTCTTTATTTCTGCATCATTCCCTGGTAGAAATTGTAGTGAAAGATGTGTAAGATGTTTAAATGGGTTAGTCTCCACCACATTTAAAAAAACAGGTTTATGATCCAAGGCAGATGCTGAAGAAACCAACTGCAGCAAAAACCTAATGGGAAGGGAGGGAAAAATATTTATTACCTCAAGCATCTTTATTTACTGAAATTGTCTGTAAATTCCAATCTGTTTTCACTTGGAAAAAATTAATAAGCATTTCACCCCTGTTGGGCAGTTTGACCCATACAGTTCCAATGTACTATCTGAAGGAATCCAGCTGCAGAATAAGGGCCTATGTCTTTACTGAATTACAATTATGTTAATGTAAAAGAGAATCCAAGACTTTACCTTGTACAGTAACTTCACTTTATGATATTTATTGTCATAATGGCAGCTCTAAAAAGATGCCGGATTTTAAAACTGTCTTTGAAAAACTGATATAAAGTAGTTATATATTATTTACCTTGGGATATCTTTGTTTTGTTCCTGAATGCACTGTTGAAGCAGATCTATAAATCTTTGTGGGAAGGCAGAAAAATCCACCAAAAGACCCTGCTGAAATTTTAAACTACATGAAGAAAAAAGAAAAAAAAGTTACATTTCTACAGAGTATTTTTATTTGCACTAGTGAATAAATATTTTCCTGATTAATTCAGAAAAGTGTGTTCACCAGAGATGTGGGGCAGAAAATTTTCCAGTGCGTTATTTTTCCGTGGGAAATTTTCCATTTGTAAAAATTGATTGTTTCATTAAATTCACTAGCAGCAATGGATGGATATAAATAAAACATTAGGCAAGCTTGGCGGGCAGCAGAGAATATGCCTCCTCTCACATATTGGAAGGGATTCTGTAATACCCGACTGTTGTCCAGGATTGCTCTAAGGATCCTACGCATCCCACCAACAGCAGCTTCTTGTGAATGGAACTGGAAGACTTTCAGCTCAAACATGACAAAAAAGAGGAATAGATTAACAAATGAACACACTGCTAAGCTGGTTTCTATTTCTCAAAATCTCTTACTTCTGAAGAATCAGTCAGAAGCACAGTTAGTGAAGAAGATGCAGTGTGATGATAAGTTGCCCTTGCCCACAGACTCATCGGTAAAACCATCCTTTAGTGAAAGAGAACGTGGTTCAAATAGTTCTGAATCAGATTTGCCTCAATCTGATTCTGAAATGGAACTAATTAGTGCAAGTGATTCTATAGACAGTGACAGTGAAACTGGAGGTGCCGCAATGACCTCAGCGGACGAAAGTTAAACTCTGTTGAAGTAGATGAGTGGACAACCACAGCATATCATGCACAGTTCTTTGGGTGTACTAAAATTAATGTGTTAACAGTCTTCAGTGCCTTCGTTTTTTCTCTTAAAATTAAACAAACAATGTAAGGGAATTACATGCTATTGTGTATTGTCTTTACAATTTTACAAGTATTCCAATAAAAATTGTTTCATTCCACATTAAGCTTTGAATTTGTTTGGCTATAACATTTAAACCACATTAAGTGTGCTGTATTTTTTTTTCCTAATCAAATATTTCAGTTCAAATACTTGTGGCTATTGGAACATAAAATTAACATGGGGGTACTTTTTTAGTTTTGTTTACTAAATATAAATAAAATAAACATGCTAAATCAGATCATGCTCTATTAAAGGTACTGGAAAACCCATATCTCTGGTGTTCACTCCTGCACTCTGAGCTACAAATCCAAAGTGCTATAAGAAAGATGATTAAGTAAAGACTGCAATCACCAGAGATGAATTTTGATGTTTTTCAAATTAGCTTTCTCTAAACTGGGGTATTAAACTTACAAGCTCAAGGGGCTGGTAGAGGAGCCAGGAATCTGGAGACAGGGCCTGCTGCTGAAATCCACAGAATGTGTGTCAGCAGTGGGGGGGCAAGCAATGCTGTTAACCCGCACCACTGCTGCTCACCCAGCAGCTCTCCAGACTGCTACATCAGGATCCTGCCAGCAATGAACCCTGTGATCCAGATCTGGCCCAGGCAGCGGGGAGAGTTAGATGTCCCTGCTTTAAATGAATCCAAATTTCACAAACCTTGAGGAAATTAACACGCACCTTTCAAATGGAAGTCTCCTTATATTACACTGTATTGCACAGAGTTAAGTTTTGGCTAAGTGTAACTTGCTGATTTTACAAATAAATTTTACAACTCAGAAACTGAAAACGCTTTGAGACAGGAAGTGTTTTTCATGTTGTGTATAATATGAGACCCAACATCACGGACCAGATTGTGGCCTCTGGACACTAATAACCTTTTCAAAACCTTTTTGCCACTCCAAGGTGATCAGTTCTTATTGAGTTGGCCACGCTGATTTCCACCTAATTTTCCTGAGCAAATACAACTAAACTAGGACTCAGAAATGGTGATAACCCCAAATTTATCTAAATGAAAGGCTCAATTCTGTGAACACTTGCTCATATAAATAATCCTCACTTTTGCAAGTAGGCCGGCTAAATCACTGACAATGTTCTAACACCCGGTAGTAGTTACAGGCAAAAATGTGGGGAGAACCATGGTCTGGGAGATAGGTAATTAGATGCAAAATCAGAAACCCAGATTCTACTGAATCACTTCATCTCTCTGCAACTCAGCTTCTCATTTATTAAATGTGGAGTACTTTTGTGCTTTTTAAAGCACTAAGAAATCTACAGATGAAAAATGATGCAAGAGTTGGAAGATTATTATTTGCTCATTGGGAAGATTTTTTTTTTAACTAAAAAGGATCAGTTGTTTATTACCATTTCTAAATGTTTCATACAATACTCTGTAACTTGCCTTTGAAAATCCTCCTCAGATATCACAAGGTTATAAAGAAAAAAGGGGTCAGTATCATCAGTCAGTTGAACAACCAAGTCCTAAAAGGAAAGATTTTTAAAGATTATTATAAGCATTTAAAATCATTTACATTTAGATGTCAGAAATTATAGACAAAATATTTAATTTTTTTATAAAAAAATTAAGATTCCTACCGGTGAAAGGGGAAGAGAAAAGCATAGTAGAATTTAGTGCAATTCCAATTTTACATATTACAGTATAGAAAATGTTGAAAATCTGATGTTTAAGCAAAGCTACTTGAACTTTCAGCAGCAATTACTTCTAAAATGAGGGCACTAATTCATCGTTAACTGATTTTTTTTCCTAAAAATTTGTTCTTTGAAACTATTTTGCAACTTTTTAATCTACAGGAAGAGCAAATCTGAGCTCCTGTCATGTAACGGGCTGATTTCAATGAAATTCTGCACAAACATTAAGAATTTCCTGTGTAGATCTAATTTCAGAACTGAGGTCCTTACTGAATCATCAGGAGAAACTTGCACTCTTTAGAATGGCTCAACGCAACTTGTACGACTAAAAACAGGAAAAATAAAAAATAGAGCCCTTATTCTCTACCATAAACATTCATCCTTGCTCCATAAAGAATCTTTCTTCCTGTGCAGTTCTTGGGTTTTTGGATAAGTAGCCAGCAATTTGAGAATGTACTATTTGAATACAGGCAGACAAGGTTCCTTGGGTGAATTTGATATCTTTTATTAGACCAACCCAAATAGTTGGAGAATAGGTATTAAGCAAGCTTTCGGGTTCAAAAACCCTTCGTCAGGCTAAGGAAGTTTCAGCAGTTGGTGTGTGCTCTTCCTGGATGGAATGAAAAGTAAACAAGCCAGGGGCTGGGCTGGGCTGGGCTGGGGAGTCAGTTGCCAGGCAGATTATAATGTATCAAAAATCCAATGTCTATGTTTAGTCCATGATCTCTAGTATCCAGGAGGTTGATGAAATGGAGCTCATAGGCTTGTCTCTGAGAAGTGTTGTGTAAATTTCCCTTGAGGATCAGAACTGAGAGATTGGAGAGAGAGCGGCCCTCCTGTGAGAAATGTGCCCCCACCGGTAATTGGGTATTTCTGTCTTTGATGGATTTCCGGTGTGTGTTCATTCTGGTGCGCAGTTGTTGTTTGGTCTCTCCTACATATTTTCCATCAGGGCATTTGGTGCATTGGATGAGGTATATTACATTTCTGGAGGTGCAGCTGTAAGAACCGGGAATGCTGATGGCTCTGTTGTGGGGTGTAGTAATAGTGGGGGTGGTGGAGATGTGTTGGCAGGTTTTGCATTTCTTGTCCTGGCACAGTCTGGATCCTTTTGGTGTGTTCTGGGCTTGAGGAAGTTTGCTTCTGGTGATGAGGTTGGCAAGGTTCGGTGCTTGTCTGAAGGCTAGGATGGGTGGCTCTGGGAAGTTCTTCTTAAGAATAGGGTCTCTGTCTAGTATGGGTTGCA